GGGAGTGCTCTGCTGCCCATGAGATGCGCCAATCAGCGACGAGTCTCGTGTCAGCTGGACCAATCAGCGATGAGCTATTTACTAATGCACCAATCAACGACGAGCTAGCTGACGACGCCTCCGACTTGCGTATTTTGGTACGGAAAAAATATTAGGAATGTCTTACGTAAGAAGATGACATAATGCCATTACCACAGTGTGACATGATCTGCTTGTGTGGTGAGGTGATGTCTCTCTCTCTCTCTCTCTCTTTCTCGTACACAGGGTTCTACAAGGTTAGGTTTAGGGATCCTGACTTTATTTACCAGCTAAGAGATGTCAAGTACATCACTTCGTTTGAAAGCTGATGTAGCTAACAGCTGTTAACTTGTAAATATAGATAGAACCCTAGCTCTCTCTCAGTAAACACAACGGGAGGCCACCTTATTCTACCCTTGAAGCTACTAAAGAGACATCATACATTGAAACATTAAGAAACAAGTGAAGAGCAACGTGAAGAACCACACAAAACAGCGGGATGAAACTCCGTGGCAAGAGCTTTAACCCGAATGTGATCATCCCCCCCCCCTGTGTAGTTACCACCATTACAGACTTAGCCCTTGATTATGATTATAATAATATTCTGTGTAGTTATGCTATCTTCGTGTTTCTTTTGTTTTTGAGTTTGTAATGGTGAAAGAAAGAAATAATAAGAGGATAATAAGAAGGGACGAAGGAATATTTTTTTTACTGGGTGGAGAAAGAATGAGAGAAATTGAGAAAAAGAGTTAGTGACTAACTTCTTAAATCTGATCGTTTTTTTTTTAATTTAATAAAGTTTGTGTTTGGTGCTGCTGTGTCTTCCATGTTGTAATATAGTCGCAACACAGCCGCTGTGTACTTCACTTTTATCTTAATACATTATAAACGCTGGTGAGAGGCTCTTGATCTAGGGTATTGGATCTGTGCTCCAGTTCCCTGAATTAAGACTGAATACCTTCCATTCCCCCTCCCCACAGGTGCTGTATAATCCTACGGGTTTAGCGCTCCCCTATGATTATATATATAATATTTCTCCATTTATATTTGAAGTTATATAGCCAGGGAGAGCAGTACATGCGTATGTCATAACTTTATTAATGTGATCACCTGCTGACAACTTCTTATCAATAATAACACCTGTGGTAGAAGCCGGTCAGTGGTGGCCACAGTTCCGCTAATTAGCGGAACTAAGTTATTCTTTAGCGGATTAGGGTTTCCGCTAACTTCGGAAACCGATAGCTGGCCAATTAGCTTCCGCTGAATTTTTTCGTGCGTTTAGCGGTTTAGCGTTAGCGGAGCTAATTTTTTAGTTGGCGGATTAGCGATTAGGGAAGCTAACCTTTCGGTTAGCTGTGCCGACCATTGGCCTTGGTAATAGTTACCGACAAGTTGGTTTAAACCCATAAGTAAACATGATCCCATTGTCTTCCCGTCCACATCCCAATATATCGTTATTGAGGTCACCATGTGTCATTCACACCTCACTCAGGTCACCATGTGTCATTCACACCTCACTCACGTCACCATGTGTCATTCACACCTCACTCAGGTCACCATGTGTCAGTCACACCTCACTCAGGTCCCCATGTGTCACTCACACCTCACTCACGTCACCATGTGTCATTCACACCTCACTCAGGTCACCATGTGTCATTCACACCTCACTCAGGTCACCATGTGTCATTCACACCTCACTCAGGTCACCATGTGTCATTCACACCTCACTCAGGTCACCATGTGTCATTCACACCTCACTCAGGTCACCATGTGTCATTCACACATCACTCAGGTCACCATGTGTCACTCACACCTCACTCAGGTCACCATGTGTCACTCACACCTCACTCAGGTCACCATGTGTCATTCACACCTCACTCAGGTCACCATGTGGTCATTCACACCTCACTCAGGTCACCATGTGTCATTCACACCTCACTCAGGTCACCATGTGTCATTCACACCTCACTCAGGTCACCATGTGTCATTCACACCTCACTCAGGTCACCATGTGTCATTCACACCTCACTCAGGTCACCATGTGTCAATCACGCCTCACTCAGGTCACCATGTGTCACTCACACCTCACTCAGGTCACCATGTGTCACTCACACCTCACTCAGGTCACCATGTGTCACTCACACCTCACTCAGGTCACCATGTGTCACTCACACCTCACTCAGGTCACCATGTGTCACTCACACCTCACTCAGGTCACCATGTGTCACTCACACCTCACTCAGGTCCCCATGTGTCACTCACACCTCACTCAGGTCACTATGTGTCACTCACCTCACTCAGGTCACCATGGGTCACTCACACCTCACTCAGGTCACCATGTGTCACTCACACCTCACTCAGGTCACCATGTGTCAGTCACACCTCACTCAGATCACCATGCGTCACTCACACCTCACTCAGGTCACCATGTGTCACTCACACCTCACTCAGGTCCCCATGTGTCACTCACACCTCACTCAGGTCACCATGTGTCACTCACCTCACTCAGGTCACCATGGGTCACTCACACCTCACTCAAGTCACCATGTGTCACTCACACCTCACTCAGGTCACTATGTGTCACTCACACCTCACTCAGGTCACTATGTGTCACTTACCTCACTCAGGTCACCATGTGTCATTCACACCTCACTCAGGTCACCATGTGTCACTCACACCTCACTCAAGTCACCATGTGTCACTCACACCTCACTCAGGTCACCATGTGTCACTCACACCTCACTCAGGTCACCATGTGTCACTCACACCTCACTCAGGTCACCATGTGTCACTCACACCTCACTCAGGTCACCATGTGTCACTCACACCTCACTCAGGTCACCATTTATCACTCACACCTCACTCAGGTCACCATTTATCACTCACACCTCACTCAGGTCACCATGTGTCACTCACACCTCACAGGTCACCATGTGTCACTCACACCTCACTCAGGTCACTATGTGTCACTCACCTCACTCAGGTCACCATGTGTCACTCACACCTCACTCAGGTCACTATGTGTCACTCACCTCACTCAGGTCACCATGTGTCACTCACACCTCACTCATGTCACCATGTGTCACTCACCTCACAGGTCACTATGTGTCACTCACACCTCACTCAGGTCACTATGTGTCACTCACCTTACTCAGGTCACCATGTGTCATTCACACCTCACTCAGGTCACCATGTCTCACTCACCTCACTCAAGTCACCATGTGTCACCTCACTCAGGTCACCATGTGTCACTCACACCTCACTCAGGTCACCATGTGTCACTCACACCTCACTCAGGTCACCATGTGTCACTCACACCTCACTCAGGTCACCATTTATCATTCACACCTCACTCAGGTCACCATGTGTCACTCACACCTCACTCAGGTCACCATGTGTCACTCACACCTCACTCAGGTCACCATGTGTCATTCACACCTCACTCAAGTCACCATGTGTCACTCACACCTCACTCAGGTCACCATGTGTCACTCACACCTCACTCAAGTCACCATGTGTCACTCACACCTCACTCAAGTCACCATGTGTCACTCACAACTCACTCAGGTCACCATGTGTCACTCACACCTCACTCAGGTCACCATGTGTCACTCACACCTCACTCAGGTCACCATTTATCATTCACACCTCACTCAGGTCACCATGTGTCACTCACACCTCACTCAGGTCACCATGTGTCACTCACACCTCACTCAAGTCACCATGTGTCACTCCCACCTCACTCAGGTCACCATGTGTCACTCACACCTCTCTCAAGTCATCATGTGTCACTCACACCTCACTCAGGTCACCATGTGTCACTCACACCTCACTCAGGTCACCATGTGTCACTCACACCTCACTCAGGTCACCATGTGTCACTCACACTTCACTCAGGTCACCATTTATCACTCACACCTCACTCAGGCCACCATGTGTCACTCACACCTCACTCCGGTCACCATGTGTCACTCACACCTCATTCAGGTCACTATGTGTCACTCACCTCACTCAGGTCACCATGTCTCACTCACACCTCACTCAGGTCACCATATGTCACTCACACCTCACTCAGGTCACCATTTATCATTCACACCTCACTCAGGTCACCATGTGTCACTCACACCTCACTTAGGTCACCATGTGTCACTCACACCTCACTCAAGTCACCATGTGTCACTCCCACCTCACTCAAGTCACCATGTGTCACTCCCACCTCACTCAGGTCACCATGTGTCACTCACACCTCACTCAGGTCACCATGTGTCACTCACACCTCACTCAAGTCACCATGTGTCACTCCCACCTCACTCAGGTCACCATGTGTCACTCACACCTCACTCAGGTCACCATTTATCATTCACACCTCACTCAGGTCACCATGTGTCACTCACACCTCACTCAGGTCACCATGTGTCACTCACACCTCACTCAAGTCACCATGTGTCACTCCCACCTCACTCAGGTCACCATGTGTCACTCACACCTCACTCAGGTCACCATTTATCATTCACACCTCACTCAGGTCACCATGTGTCACTCACACCTCACTCAGGTCACCATGTGTCACTCACACCTCACTCAGGTCACCATGTGTCATTCACACCTCACTCAAGTCACCATGTGTCACTCACACCTCACTCAGGTCACCATGTGTCACTCACACCTCACTCAAGTCACCATGTGTCACTCACACCTCACTCAAGTCACCATGTGTCACTCACAACTCACTCAGGTCACCATGTGTCACTCACACCTCACTCAGGTCACCATGTGTCACTCACACCTCACTCAGGTCACCATTTATCATTCACACCTCACTCAGGTCACCATGTGTCACTCACACCTCACTCAGGTCACCATGTGTCACTCACACCTCACTCAAGTCACCATGTGTCACTCCCACCTCACTCAGGTCACCATGTGTCACTCACACCTCTCTCAAGTCATCATGTGTCACTCACACCTCACTCAGGTCACCATGTGTCACTCACACCTCACTCAGGTCACCATGTGTCACTCACACCTCACTCAGGTCACCATGTGTCACTCACACTTCACTCAGGTCACCATTTATCACTCACACCTCACTCAGGCCACCATGTGTCACTCACACCTCACTCCGGTCACCATGTGTCACTCACACCTCATTCAGGTCACTATGTGTCACTCACCTCACTCAGGTCACCATGTCTCACTCACACCTCACTCAGGTCACCATATGTCACTCACACCTCACTCAGGTCACTATGTGTCACTCACACCTCACTCAGGTCACTATGTGTCACTCACCTCACTCAGGTCACCATGTGTCATTCACACCTCACTCAGGTCACCATGTGTCATTCACCTCACTCAGGTCACCATGTGTCACTCACACCTCACTCAAGTCACCATGTGTCACTCACACCTCACTCAGGTCACCATGTGTCACTCACACCTCACTCAAGTCACCATGTGTCACTCACACCTCACGTCACCATGTGTCACTCACACCTCACTCAGGTCACCATGTGTCACTCACACCTCACTCAGGTCACCATGTGTCACTCACACCTCACTCAGGTCACCATGTGTCACTCACACCTCACTCAGGTCACCATTTATCACTCACACCTCACTCAGGTCACCATGTGTCACTCACACCTCACTCAAGTCACCATTTATCACTCACACCTCACTCAGGTCACCATTTATCACTCACACCTCACTCAGGTCACCGTGTGTCACTCATACCTCACTCAGGTCACCAAGTGTCACTCACACCTCACTCAGGTCACCATGTGTCACTCATACCTCACTCAGGTCACCAAGTGTCACTCATACCTCACTCAGGTCACCATGTGTCACTCACACCTCACTCAGGTCACCAAGTGTCACTCACACCTCACTCAGGTCACCAAGTGTCACTCATACCTCACTCAGGTCACCAAGTGTCACTCACACCTCACTCAGGTCACCAAGTGTCACTCACACCTCACTCAGGTCACCAAGTGTCACTCACACCTCACTCAGGTCACCAAGTGTCACTCATACCTCACTCAGGTCACCATGTGTCACTCACACCTCACTCAGGTCACCAAGTGTCACTCACACCTCACTCAGGTCACCAAGTGTCACTCACACCTCACTCAGGTCACCATGTGTCACTCATACCTCACTCAGGTCACCAAGTGTCACTCATACCTCACTCAGGTCACCAAGTGTCACTCACACCTCACTCAGGTCACCAAGTGTCACTCATACCTCACTCAGGTCACCATGTGTCACTCACACCTCACTCAGGTCACCAAGTGTCACTCACACCTCACTCAGGTCACCAAGTGTCACTCATACCTCACTCAGGTCACCATGTGTCACTCACACCTCACTCAGGTCACCATGTGTCACTCACACCTCACTCAGGTCACCATGTGTCACTCACACCTCACTCAGGTCACCATTTATCACTCACACCTCACTCAGGCCACCATGTGTCACTCACACCTCACTCAAGTCACCATGTGTCACTCACACCTCACGTCACCATGTGTCACTCACACCTCACTCAGGTCACCATGTGTCACTCACACCCCACTCAGGTCACCATGTGTCACTCACACCTCACTCAGGTCACCATGTGTCACTCACACCTCAGTCAGGTCACCATGTGTCACTCACACCTCACTCAGGTCACCATGTGTCACTCACACCTCACTCAGGTCACCATGTGTCACTCACACCTCACTCAGGTCACCATGTGTCACTCACACCTCACTCAGGTCACCATGTGTCACTCACACCTCACTCAGGTCACCATGTGTCACTCACACCTCACTCAGGTCACCATTTATCACTCACACCTCAGTCTCCACTATATATATATACTATCTGTGTAACCTCTGTATGCTAGAAGTGATCAAGATCAAAGGACCTAAATTTTTTCTAATTAATATGTCCTAGTGTTTACTTACGTGTCTTCCTAAACTAACAACTTTTGTATCTTTTTCTACGTACGATGATCCCAAAATTTTATCACAGTCTATCGTACATTCCTTGTGTCGTCTGATTTCGTTTTCTTTTTATATTTTAATTAAAGGCATTTATCAACATTAAATTCCATTATCCATTTCACCCTCCAGGTAAACTCCAGGTTTACTAGAACTACTTATAACTCTGTATTCATTGGAAGGTAGACGAGAAAGGTACATCATAATTTACAACTGGAATATCCTGGAGTTGCTGGTGCCGTACCTGAACCTGCACGCTACAATCACTCCATCTGAAAGCAATTGGTGCAATATACGTCCAATCAGTAGCCGATGAATACACTGAGAGTAGACCCAGTGAGTCTCAGAGGTCGTGGACTCTGCAATGCCGCCCTTCGTGCATAAAAAAATTACTTACAAACGTCTGGCTGTCTTAAAGAGAAAACTTGACAAGTTCCTCAAATCATTTCTTGACCAGCCGGGCTGTGGTTCGTGCCACCAGCAGTAACAGCCTGGTTGATCAGGTTGCTACTGCTTGGAGGCCTGGTCTGGGAGAGGCCGCAGAGGGCATCTCCCCCGGAAAACACTTCAACAACTTGAGGTATCTTGTAAAGGGTGAGTTATTTTTATCATCAGTTTTGTACAAGGTTTTTCCATTATCCACAAACAAATTCATTATCTTCATTTTTTAATTTACATTTTAACAGCAACATTACCTACCAGAATAATTTTCCCTTTATTGCTTGCAGCAACAGTCTACGATTATGTACACTAACAGATGTACCTCTCAGTGTACGTGTGCGGAAAGTTTACATATGCATTATTCTTGACTACTTGTGAACACGTTGCATGCATCATGATCCTTGTGGAGTCGATAGGCTTCAAATCCCAATAACCAACCAACTCATGAAGATAGACACAAATTGTTTTGTCAGGCCATGAACAGACTAGTGTTTTTAGCACCAGACTATTGATTCAGAGGTGAAATTGTCACTGGATCAACATCCGTATGAATGACTGACCAAGGATCACTAGATCTTGGAGGTCACTGCTCATACCAGTGTAATGTTACTGTCTACTTCCTGGCTACACCCTGCACACCGCTGCACTTCCTCATGTCTCACATCTGCTTGTCTGACCTTTTTTTTATGGAACAAAACTGGATATATCAGCAGTGTTCCGATACTCTGTGATAGTTACATCTTGGGAACACTAACAGTGTGGTGATACTCTGTGATAGTTATATCTTGGGAACACTAACAGTGTGGTGATAGTCTGTGATAGTTATATCTTGGGAACACTAACAGTGTGGTGATACTCTGTGATAGTTACATCTTGGGAGCACTAACAGTGTGGTGATACTCTGTGATAGTTACATCTTGGGAACACTAACAGTGTGGTGATACTCTGTGATAGTTATATCTTGGGAACACTAACAGTGTACTGCTACACTGCTGTGAGTGATAGTAACATAGTGGGTGCTCCAGCAGTGTACTGCTAGCGTACTCAGCTCACACACTGAGGACCGGGGATAGAATCTCCAGTACGGCTGGTAAATATTAGGACGTGTTTCCATAAGACTCCTGTCGTCCCTGTTCACTCATCAGTAAAATAGGTACCTGGGTGTTAGTCGACTGGTGTGGGTCGCATCCTGGGACAAAATTGACCTAATTTGCCGGAAATGTTCGGCATAACAAACAGCTTTCTATATAGTGAGTCATTGATGAGAACTAGGCCTGTATACCTCGTACATGTACTTGTAGAAATAAATATATATGATAGTTACACAGTGGGAACACCTGAAGTGTGCTGTTAACCTACTCTGTAATTATGATAGTTACATAGTGGGAACACCTGTAGTGTGCTGTTAACCTACTCTGTAATTATGATAGTTACATAGTGGGAACACCTGTAGTGTGCTGTTAACCTACTCTGTAATTATGATAGTTACATAGTGGGAACACCTGAAGTGTGCTGTTAACCTACTCTGTAATTATGATAGTTACATAGTGGGAACACCTGTAGTGTGCTGTTAACCTACTCTGTAATTATGTTACTTATATAGTGGGAACACCTGTAGTGTGCTGTTAACCTACTCTGTAATTATGTTACTTATATAGTGGGAACACCTGTAGTGTGCTGTTAACCTACTCTGTAATTATGATAGTTACATAGTGGGAACACCTGTAGTGTGCTGTTAACCTACTCTGTAATTATGATAGTTACATAGTGGGAACACCTGTAGTGTGCTGTTAACCTACTCTGTAATTATGTTACTTATATAGTGGGAACACCTGTAGTGTGCTGTTAACCTACTCTGTAATTATGTTACTTATATAGTGGGAACACCTGTAGTGTGCTGTTAACCTACTCTGTAATTATGATAGTTACATAGTGGGAACACCTGTAGTGTGCTGTTAACCTACTCTGTAATTATGATAGTTACATAGTGGGAACACCTGTAGTGTGCTGTTAACCTACTCTGTAATTATGATAGTTACATAGTGGGAACACCTGTAGTGTGCTGTTAACCTACTCTGTAATTATGATAGTTACATAGTGGGAACACCTGTAGTGTGCTGTTAACTACTCTGTAATTATGATAGTTACATAGTGGGAACACCTGTAGTGTGCTGTTAACCTACTCTGTAATTATGATAGTTACATAGTGGGAACACCTGTAGTGTGCTGTTAACCTACTCTGTAATTATGTTACTTATATAGTGGGAACACCTGTAGTGTGCTGTTAACCTACTCTGTAATTATGTTACTTATATAGTGGGAACACCTGTAGTGTGCTGTTAACCTACTCTGTAATTATGATAGTTACATAGTGGGAACACCTGTAGTGTGCTGTTAACCTACTCTGTAATTATGATAGTTACATAGTGGGAACACCTGTAGTGTGCTGTTAACCTACTCTGTAATTATGATAGTTACATAGTGGGAACACCTGTAGTGTGCTGTTAACCTACTCTGTAATTATGATAGTTACATAGTGGGAACACCTGTAGTGTGCTGTTAACCTACTCTGTAATTATGATAGTTACATAGTGGGAACACCTGTAGTGTGCTGTTAACCTACTCTGTAATTTATGATAGTTACATAGTGGGAACACCTGTAGCGTGCTGTTAACCTACTCTGTAATTATGATAGTTACATAGTGGGAACATAAGGTAGGTATGTTTTCCTGTCATATTCCATCACATAGGATGGATAACTCCAGCAGAGCTGGAGTTACTATTACTTGGAATTACCATCTCTTAGGATGGTTAATCTCGCACATGAGTAAAATTTAAATTTTGAAGATATCTTCACCACAGAACGAGGTAAGACTGGAGAAGCTTCGAGGGGCTGTGTCCTGATGCTGGTAAAGCACTCTTGATCCCAGGAATTGTATGACCCCTGCTTGTTTAGCGCTTCTCCGTGAATATAATCACCACTGAGTTAGGAAAAAAAAGTTGACATGGTTGAGAATCTTGACAACATATTTAATGTAAAAATTGTTAGAGCTTATCTTAGTATTTGTGAGTGAAGGCTGCAGGAGGTTTCAAGAATGAAGGATAACTGCAGTAGGCCTCTTGTTCCATGCCAGGCAAGTTTAACTCGCAGCCAACCACACCCACTCATGTACTCGTCCAACCTGTATTTAAAGTTATCCAAAGTTCTTGCCTTCATAACGCTACTTGGGAGTTTGTTCCATTCATCCACAACTCTGTTGCCAAACCAGTACTTCCTTATATCCTTTCTAAAGCTAAATGTGTCCAACTTGAATCCATTGCTGTGAGTTCTGTCTTGATTAGATGTTTTCAACACGTTATTTGTATCCTCTTTATTCATTTCTGGTTTCCCTTTGTACAATTCAATCATATGTTCGCTAATTCTCCGCCTTTCAGAGAGTAAAAATTCAGTGCCTTTAGCTTACCTTCGTACATAAGGCTTCTCATACTGAGATCAACTTCGCCATCCTTCTCTGTATATTTTCCAGCGCATTTATGTTTCTTCTGTAATGTAGAGACCAGAACTGAACAACATAATCTAAATGAAGCTTTATCAAAGTTATATAAAGTTAAAGTATAATCTTAGGACTTTTATTATTTATGACTCTTGCCAACACTTATGCACTGTTGTCTTGGCTTTAAATCTCTGCTAACCAGAACTCCAAACTCGTCGCATTCAGTGCGATTAAGATCTACATTGTTTAGCTTATAGATATCACAGTTATTTTCTTTTCTTATGATTAGAACTTTACATATATCAGCATTGAGCTGCATCTGCCACTTCTGCGACCACAATATTAACCTAGCCAGGTCATCTTGCACTGTCTAGTGTCCTCATCAGAAATTATCTGACGGTATGTTTAAGTGTCATCGGCAAACTTGTCGCTATTCCTCGTCAACGTTAAGTAGAATGTGAACAACAATGGCGATCTTTTGCAGAGACTGGTTTCCTAAATTCCTCTTTATATTCCTTTAAAACATCTGAAAACAGCTCGTCAGGACCCAGTGGCTTGTTTGGTTTTCATACAGTTGTTTGAGGATCATGTCACTAGTAACTTTGATCTTGCATAATTTATGTGCGTCTTGAGCAGCATAATTATTGATTTACGGGGTTTAATTTGGGTCGTCTTGTGTAAAAAACAGAGGAAATAAGTGTTAAAAATAGTACACATATATTTCTTTGTCACTAACAGTAAACTGGCCTGATCTACATTACAGTAGGCCTATATTTTCCCTAATATTATTCCTATATACTATTAACTCAAGACAACTAAATCATTATAAAATAATACTTAAATTTGTACTGTTGTAATATGATTTGCAACTGTAATACTTTTGTTTGTCACTTCAATCTCTCTACTGTAAACCTTAATAATTATTAAAATTTTGGCTACCTCTGGTTTGTATTAATGTAAAATAATGAAAAATTACAATTTACCGCTGCATAACCTGGTCTAGACAGGTTTTAAGTAATGTGTCAGTGTTAGTCTGCCTGAAATGTTCAGTGGGTTTCTTAGTGTTAAATTTGTATAACATGTCAACCTTACATCGTATATTATGCAAAGAAATAAAGTTTGTATTTGTAAAGAATTGTTTTTTTTGGTCGCCTCGCGGCCTTAATTTTCGTATTCTCTTTTAAG